ACCAATTAAATGATATAATGCAAATAAAATGTTTAATGTGCCTGACATAGTGTGATATTCATAATAAAAAGTTTTCTTACCATTTTGGCCAAGGCCTCGCAGTTACCAGTAGTAGGTGGTGGGAAGCAGAGCCTGGATTTGAACTCTAGCCACTGTGCAGTCATCTCTTTGAACTTGTGCAGTGTCATGCCTCCCATAGCAAGTGCTTCTTGACAGGTTGCCTTGAAGCTTCATGAGATGTCTGTTAAAGTATTTAGCTCAGTGTCTGGCACATGCTCAACAGTGTCAGTTTTCATTCTCCCTTCCCAGGAACTCCAGACTGCTTCCAGGTGTGTGAGGAACTGCTCTTCCATCTTAATGAAAAAGGCACAGGGTTTCTCATGGGTCAGTGGTAAAACACCTGCTTGTTCTTGGCAGGCTGCCTGCTCAGTTTGGGCAGAACCTTTGCAGCTGTGAATTTCTTCCTATTCCTCTAAGGTAAAGGCCATGTCGCCTCCTGGGAAAGTTCCACGGAAGGAGAACCTGGGGCTCCAGTGTGAGTGGGGGTCCTGCTCCTTTGTTTGCTCAGCCATGGAGGAGTTCTGCGAGCACGTCACTCAGCACCTGCAGCAGCACCTACACAGCCCCGAGGAAGAAGAGGGAGAGGAGGACGAGGACAACCCACTTGGTAAGGAAGCAGGACACGGGCTGGGACAGGAGGGAAATCTGAGACTTTCCTTTTTCCAGAGGGAAAAGACAACCTGGGAGAATGGTATTTTACTATCCTACTTTTGCTTTTTGGTTTATAAAAACATAAGCTCATTTATAGAAAATTCAACAAGGATATAAGAAATGATCTCTATCCTGCCATCAAGGGGGACAGTTATTTTGATTGATTGATTGTGATGCTGAGCAAACCCAGGACCTTTCTGCACAGGACGCTTGGTTGTTTCTGAAGTTGGGAGAGCACATCTTCCTTAGGAACTGGCAGAAGCTCTGCACGGAGGTTGTCCTAGTCGCACTTACTGTCTCTCAGTTTCTGGCACAGGCCTTGCATACACCTTTGCCTCTGCCTAGACCACACTCTTCTTCATCTTCTTGTATATACTTGTCCTTTAGCTCTCAACAAGGAACACTTCCGAAGGAACCTCTGCCCACATGAAAGTACTTCTGTTTAATACTTTCTTTGTTTTGTTATGTTTCTGAGACAGATTCTCTGCTCTGTAGTTCAGGCCAGCCTTGAACTCACAGCCATCCTTCTGCCTTAGCCTTCTGAGTGCTGGGATTACAGGTGTGCACCACCACACCCATCTTTCTGTTTAATGCTTTTATGGTATCTTCTATGCCTCACCCCATGGTACTTGTCATAAGTTGCAGTTTTATATTTATAGTTATTATTTGATTAATGTTCTATTTCCCTGGCTGAAAGCTATGTGAGGACAAGGATGGAGACTCTTTCTATATATCTTGAATGCCTGACACACAATGGAAGATGACTGATACTGCTGTTTGCTCAGTCAGCTTGGTCAGAGTCCTGCTGTACATAGCTCAGGTGGAAGGCAGTCTGAGCCTTGAAAAGTATCAGACTGTTCCTTCTAAACCCCTTTCTGCAGAAGAAGAATTCTCCTGCTTGTGGCAGGAATGTGGCTTCTGCTCTCTGGATAATTCAGCTGACCTCATCCGCCACGTCTACTTCCACTGCTACCACACCAAGCTCAAACAGTGGGGGCAACAGGCCTTGCAAAGCCAGGCCGACCTCAGCCCCTGTATCCTGGACTTCCAGAGCCGGAACATCGTCCCTGACATTCCTGACCACTTCCTGTGTCTGTGGGAACATTGTGAGGTCAGCAGGCAGTGCCAAAAATAGGGGTGGAAGGAAACTGGGATCAACTCACAATATCTTGACCCTTTCTGGGGCACCTTTTATTTATTTCCCAAGATTCTTCCTGGTATTTCTACTTCTGTGTAGCCCCTTTCCTCAGACTTTTCCCAACCCACCTAGTTAATATGGGAGAGAGCTGAAAGGCCCCCTTTGGCTTAGGGGTATGAGTCTTTCCACTACCGCATCCTCACCCCAAGTTGCCCTGGCACAGAGCTCCTTCGACAATCCTGAGTGGTTCTATCGGCATGTGGACGCGCACTGCCTGTGCTGTGACTACCAAGCAGTCGGCAAGGACAACCACGTCGTGCTGTGTGGCTGGAAAGGTAGGCTGTTCCTCTGCTGTGGCCTCTGGAAGCAAACCTGGGGTGCTAAGGGGCCGTGGTAGCCAGGGATGGGACCCCACCATTGGTTAGAAGCTAGCTACAGAGACTTGGGTTCCCAGATCCAGCTCGGGGTGTTCAGGACTGGGGCCTGACCAGGCCTTTCTTCCCAGGCTGTACCTGCACCTTCAAGGACCGCTGTAAGCTTCGGGAGCACCTCCGTAGCCACACTCAGGAAAAGGTGGTGGCCTGCCCTACCTGCGGGGGCATGTTTGCCAACAACACTAAGTTCTTAGATCACATCCGTCGCCAGACCTCCTTGGACCGTAAGCGATCAGAGAGAAGAGGGTGGCTGTGGCTATAGGCCATCCTGCTTGGAGTGGAGTCGGGGCATGTTCCCAGGGAAGGTGGCCACTGGAGATACCTGCAGCGAGGCTCCTTCCCTGTTTTGGGCTCAGGCACCTCCCACAGTCCCTTCCTAGATCTTGTTATTCTGTACTCACTGTGTGTTACGTCAGTTATCTCAGGGAACCCTCACAACAGCCCCATGAGGTAGGCTTCTTATTCCCATTTTTGCAGATGAGGAAACTGAGTCTCAGAGAGGTTAAACCACTTACCTGAGATCACACAGCTAGTAAGTGGGAAAGTTGACCTTCTAACTCAGGTTTCTAACTCCAAGTCCTGTCCATAGTTCCCCTTTGGGTGGGTCCCTCCTGCCTGGGTTGGTTTTCCTCTCTGTGCCTCTACACTGGCCCCTACAGCCCCGATTTCCTCTGCCCACCCCACCTCAGAGCAGCGCTTCCAGTGCTCTCACTGTTCTAAGAGATTTGCCACGGAGCGACTGTTGAGGGACCACATGCGCAACCATGGTGAGTAGCTGCTGTCCTAGCTGACTCTCTGCCCTTCTAGGTTCCCTGTTCCCAGATTACAGCCTCCTCTCTGCTCCTCTTAGTGAATCACTATAAGTGCCCTCTGTGTGACATGACCTGCCCACTGCCTTCCTCCCTCCGCAACCACATGCGCTTTCGCCACAGTGACGACCGGCCCTTTAAATGTGACTGTTGTGACTACAGGTAAGGGGTACCAGGGACCAGAAAACAGAGAGCTTGTGTCCCAGGGTCCCCCAGGCCCTCCAACCCCTCCTGACCTCTCCTGGCAGCTGCAAGAATATGATTGACCTCCGGAAACACCTGGACACCCACAGCAAGGGGCCGGCCTACAGGTGTGACTTTGAGAACTGCAGCTTCAGTGCCCGCACCCTCTGCTCTATCAAGTACCATTACCGAAGAGTGCATGAAGTAAGTGGGGCGGGCGGTGGGGAAGGGCTGGCAGGAGTGTGGGGGAGCCTGGCCTCACTTCTCCTTTCCTCCCCTCCCTTCCCCTCCCCTCCCCATCAGGGAGACTCTGAGCCAAGGTACAAGTGTCATGTGTGTGACAAGTGCTTCACGCGCGGCAACAACCTCACTGTGCATCTTCGTAAGAAGCACCAGTTCAAGTGGCCCTCAGGGCACCCCCGTTTTCGGTATGTCTTGACCTTACCCCCAGATCACACACATTTCTTCCTCTACCTTTCAACAAGTTAGAAACTTGAAGTTGGTAGCACGCTAACGTCTGCCATCTCTGTAGGCTCCACCCTCATAGAGTCCAACAGCAGTGTAGTGGGCCAAGGTTATTTTTCTGAACTTTTAAAATCCAGGGCACAGTGGCAGACTCAGTAAATGATACCAATAGTCCTAAAGCCAGAACTAGAGCCTAAGGGTTCTGACCCTCCACGGCCTTCTGCAAACCCTTTAATGCTCCTGCTCTTCCACATGGAGAATCATTCTCTTTCTCTGGGTTGGGTTTCTGCATAAAATTTTCCATTTTGAGTAATGATCCTTCCTTGCCTTTTCTTTTACGTATTCCAATAAAGACTGTGTCTTTTGTTTTCAGTCCTGTCACTCCGAATCCCAGGAGTTCTGTCCCTCACATTTGTCTCTTTAACTCACCAGTGTCTGGGCCCCTTTTGCATCCTTCTGCCCTTGTTTGCTGCCCTTGTGCTTCTCCGCCACCAGGTACAAGGAGCATGAAGATGGCTACATGCGGCTGCAGCTGGTTCGCTATGAGAGCGTGGAGCTGACACAGCAGCTGCTACGGCAGCCACAAGAGGGCTCGGGCCTGGGAGTGGCGCTGAGTGAGAGCAGCCTGCAGGGCATCATTCTAGAAACAGAGCTGGGGGAGCCAGGACCGGAAGAAGAGGCAGAAGGAGGGAGTGGGCACAGTGAAGGCACAGCCCTCTCTGCCTCTCAGGACAGCTCAAGCCCTGTTATCCATGTGGTGAATCAGACCAGCGCCCAAGGCCATCGAGAGATTGTGTACTACGTGTTGTCCGAAGCCCCGGGAGAGCCACCCCCAGTCCCTGAGCCAGCCTCAGGGGGCTTGGAAGAAAAACTTCAAGGAGGAGCTGAGGAGCCCGAGGTCCAGATGGCATGAAGGCTACCAAGTCTGATCATTCCTAACCTGGGCCTTGGGGATTGAGCCAGGCAGATAGTAGTGTCCCCAGTGGGCAGCCTTTGCCAATGAATGCCTTCAGGAGTGGTGCTGAGAACAGTGTGGTCCTCTGTGGGCCGGGTTTGCATCATTCTGCAGATTCTAAGAACTTCCAATTTTAGCCACACTGCATTTTGTAGGGATCCTGAGGAGTTTGGATTCTTTGAGGGGATCCTGGATGTATGTGTTATTGTTGTGGGGTTCTTGTTATCAGTCTTAACTATAACCCCCTCAGTGTTCTGGACAGTAGTTAAGTTCTTAGTGAACTCACATCCATTCCCATCTTTAGGAGTCCACAGGCCCAAAGATGCTGAATGGTTTGTCGCTTACAAGGGCCCTTTCCTCCATACCATTTAAGGCATTGAAAACCAGGCAGCCATTTCTCTCAAGGGTTCCTCGAAAACCCAGGGACATTTGTGGTTATCCTCAGGGACAGCATTGGAGGCAGTGTGTGTGTGTGTGTGTGTGTGTGTGTGTGTGTGTGTGTGTGTAACCATTGTTTTTGGTAATAAAGAAACACTTGGGTTCTTACTTCTCTAAGTTTTGTGGCAGTTAAGTAGGTGATGAAGATACAGCTTCCCAAAAGAGGAGCTGAATATTTAGTCTTCTTTCCCTTTTACTGATGGAGGTGGTTTGTTTAATTCTCATGTTGTTCCCCTTTGGTGGAACTTTTTTTTTTGAGACAGGGTCTCGCTATGTAGTTCAGGCTGGGCTTGAACTCATTAAGTAGCCCAGGCTGGCCCTGAATTTGCAGTGATCTTGCCTGAGGCTCCCAAGTGCTAGGCTTACAGGCATGCGCCACCATGGTATTCCTTTTGGTAGAACTTGTTCATTTCTTAAAGCATCTGCCAGCTCCATGGAGACCCTAGCACTTAGTGTTAAGTGGGCAGTAGTAGCACTGTAGAATGGACAAGAACGATGATGCAGCAGACCAGGGCTGCACTGTCAGTCCTGTTAGCACCTGAGGCCTCGAGGGTCAGGTTCTGTACTGTGAGACTGAAGGAAGCTAGGATGGAGGGATCGTGACTAGTGCCAAGTACTCCTGGGCCCAGGTATCAAATTAGAAATCTGTGTTCCTGGATGTCCATTTTCTTGGGGAAAGTATATAGAGGTTGAAACCCCATAAAATAACCATTCTTCAGGCCTGTTCATGTGTCAGCCCCTGCTCCATTTTTGTGGTCTCTGGCAGTCTGGAGAGGTCAAGGAAGTACTTTCAGGGGTATTGGACAGACAGGAACTTAGCAAGAAAGATCTGTGTGATGTTTTTAAAAGATTTTTTTTAGCGGTGGGCTGTATTGGGAATGAGGTCCAAGGCCTTATGTACATTGGACAAGTGTTCTACCACTGAATTGCATCCCAGCCTTAATTGTTACTACAAAAACAGTATGCCTGCAAGCTAAATAAAACTTCTTTAAAAATAAAAAAATAAACTAATACAAAAAAAAGGTATGCCTATTACAGGTAGAATTAAAAAAGAAAAAATCTCGTTCGTCAGCTGTTACTGAGTTCCAGCTGTTGTCTCGGCACATGTGCTAAGGATATAAGGATGAGTCAAACCTGGTCCCTACCTTGCAGGGACTTGCAGCGTAGAGATGAGGGAGGACTGGGTATACAGTGACGGACTCAGTGGAGTACATCTAGGAGCCCAAAGAGTAGATGCTGGGAGATGGAGCTCAGGGGTAGAGCCCATGGTTAGCATGCATGAGGCCCTGGGTTCAGTCCCCAGCACCACAGAGACAAACATCAGAGTAGATAGCGTTACCAGAGAAGCAGATTAGGAAGGCTTCACCCAAGAAGAGACTCCTAACCAAGACAAATGACTAAATACTAAACCCTGCAAAGATTGTGGCACTTCATTTTTTATATGCTGTGTAATTCAAACAAATACTAAATCTGAAGAGGCAGGTGTGGTGGCACCCCTGTAGTCAGCACTCCAGAGGCTGATGGAGGATTGTTGTATTCAAGGCCATCCTGGGTTAAGGACCATATCCTGTCTCAGAGAAAATCCATGAAATTACACAGTATCTGGAGTAAGAAGATACCATTTCTTACTCTTTGTTAAAGGATGTGCAGGAACGGAGCCCAGGTGTTTGAAGGTGGTATTCCTTCCCTTTTTAGGGGCTGGGGGGTGGTACCAGGAATTGAACTCGGGATGTTGTGCTTGCCAGGCAGACACTTACACCTTGTTTTTTTCTGAGACAGGGTCTTGTATAGTGTAGGCTGGACTTGAACTTAGTATGTAGCCCAGACTGGCCTTGAGCCTGAGGTGATTTCTGCCTTAATCTTCCAAGTGCTGGGATTACAGGTATGTGCCACCATGCCCGGCTTTCTTTCTTGGGGCTAGTCCTCAGAGATGGGCACAGGAACTCTTGAGTCCATATAAGAAATTTTTAAAAAAATTCTTCAAGGTAAGGAGACAATACTTGAGTACACAGTACCTTCGTTTCTCTTACAATGACATGAGATCACCTAAAAACCAAGTTGTTGGAAGACCAAGGTCAGGCAGTAGCAGCTTCATACTGGCACCCTGGAACAAAAGCAGAAGGGTAGAGCCACGGTGACAGCATGTGAGTGGACTGCACAGGGTTGGGAGCAAGACACCCATAGCATAGACACCCATGGGAGCGGGGTCATGGGTGCAGACAGCAGGGAATCTGGAGCTGCTGGTTAGAGTAAAAAGGCTGGAGGCTGCAAGAGGCCGCTGATGATGGACAGGCAGGAAAGAGCTTCGGGCAGAAGCGACGGGAGCTATTCAGGGTCTGGAATATGTCCACCAGGAAGTAGGCTGCAGGGTGGGACCAAGGTCATCAGAGTAGAAGGAATGAGTTAACAATGACCTCTGACCTGTCTGCCTTTGTGTTAGAGAAGGGGAACAGGTAAATCCCAGAGCAAAGCTGGGGAAGACAGGTCCTGTCTTAAGAGGAGCAAAGCAGAAGCAGAAAACTATTAGTTTATTTTTTTATTTTTAAATAAAAAGCTGGGGAAGACAGGACCTGAGGCTGGTTCTGCAAAGCCATAGGATGTAGCAAGAGTTCAAGTTCTAGGAGAACAAAGAAAGACTTGGGCAGAAAACACTGGTACTCTACCACTTTGGAGAGCCAGCTGCTCACTACGTACCCCAGGCTGGCCTTGAACTTGAGGTGATCGTCCTGCCTCAGCCTGCTTTACTGCCAGAATTACAGGAATACACCACGACACCCAGCACTTACTTTCTTCTTACCAAAGGAGAAAAAAGGAGTGCTGCACTTTTAATATGCATGTCAGTATTACTTGATTTTGTTATATTCTTCTAACTTCAACAAATGTTAGGCTGGAAGTTGTGGCACATGCCTGTAATCCTGGCACTCTGGTGGCTGAGGCAGGAGGATCTCTGAGAGTCTGAGGCCAGCCTGGGCTACAAAGTGAGTTCAAGGCCAGGCTGAACTGCATAGTGAAACCCTGTCTCAGCCAAAAAAAAAAAAACAAACCATAACTGCTGCTGGGTGTGGTTTGAGGCCTGCCTGAGCTACATAGTGAGACCTTTTCTCAAAGAAACAACTGTAGCAACAGTAAAGACTGCCTCATGTCAAAGTTCAAGAACAGCAATCAGTACAGCCCCTGCCATTGGGGACCCAGAAATACAGACTTTCTTGCCATGTCCTGCCCTGGAGAGGGACGCCAGCTAAGGGAGAGAGGCTTCTGTCAGTTGCTGCACCTTCTCAAGTAGCCAGCAGAGGGCCCTTCCCTTGATGAATGCACTGAGAGGACTAGGTCAGGATAGGCCAGGGAGGCTCAGTGAAAAAAGGAGCCGGGTCATGGAAGCAGAACTGATTCCGTTCCAAAGTCTCCAGCTGAGGCCTTTTCTGGATCCTATAGGGCCTTGCCACCTTCCTTCCCCCAGAGGTCCATAAAGCTCCTTACCAACTGCTTCTCCCACAAATCCCTGTCCAGAGCAACACTTAGATTAGCTCCCAGCACTAAGCTGAGATGAGAATTTTCTGCTTCTGCTTTGCTCCTCTTAAGCTAATTATCATCAACCTTTGTGAGCCTGAGTCTAGGAACCCGCCCTAGAAAGAGTTCATGCCAGGTGGTAAAGGTGAGGGGGCCTGAGGTGGGAGCTGGGAAACAAGGAAGAGTCTGGTGCTGAGGATATCGCTCAGCGGCACAGTGCCTGCCTGGCAAGCATGAGGTTCTGAGTTCGATTTCAAATACCAAAAAAAAAAAAAGGAAGAATCAAACCCAGCATGGTGGTGCATGCCTGGAATCCCAGCGCTCTGGGAGCTGAGACAGGAGGATCGCTGTGAGTTCAAGGCCTGCCGGGCTACTTGGTGAGTTCAAGACCAGCTTGCACTACAAAGCGAAATCCTGTTTCAAGATTAGTCCTCTGAAATGGGAGGAGATCTATCTGGGGAGATGGGAGAAGGCCCATCTGGGCTTTAGGGGAAGTCTGTGGTGGGAAAAGTGTATTCTGAAATGATGAGTTCTAGGCTAAGTAAAGGGGGTTCTTTTGAGCAGTGTTCTGCAAAGTGTGGTCCCTAGTCTATTCTAGGAGTTAGAAGCATGTTGTTAGAAGTCAAAGGAAGCCATATGGTGGGATTGGCGAGTACTGCCAGGATGGGGCAGGTCTACGCTGGTGGCCTTCCGGCAAGTTAGAGAAGTTTTTTGTTTGTTTTTTATTGCTGAGGATGGAACCCAAGGCCTTGCATATGGTAGACAATAGGCAAGTGCTCTGCCTTTGCACTATATCCTTAGCCCTAGATAGGTTCTATACCATAGAATAAGCTCTGTGCAGGGGAATGGAATCTCACATAATAAAGTCATAGTTTTTTAAAAATTTTTATTATTTTTATTTTTGGCATTTTTGAGACAGAGTCTCACTATGTAGCTCAGGTTGACCTCGAACTTGAGATGTGCCTATGATCCTCCTGCAAACTTGTGATCCTCCACCAGCATTCCTCCTGTCTCAGCCTCCTAAGTGCTAGTATTACAGATGTACACCAAGGCTATAGTTTAGAACCACTAAGACCTAGATTTGAACCCCTGCAGCCATCGTATCAGATGTGTGACCTTAAACTTGTACTGGACATTTCTGAGCTTCAGTTGCCTTATCTGAAACATAAGGTGATACCTCATAGGACTGGTCAGAACTTTGAGGCAACAGGAATTTTTTTTTTTTTTTGGTTTTTCTCCGGTACCGGGAACCGAACTCACGACCTTGCGCTTGCCAGGCAGGCGCTTTGCCACTGAGCTAAATCCCCAGCCCCGAGGCAACAAGTATTTATTGAATGTGTTTTTTCTTTTTTTAGTTTAGTTTTTTTTTTTTTTTTTTGATAGGGTCTCACTGTGTAATTCAGGCTGGCTTTGAACTCACTGTGTAGCCCAGGCTGCCCTCAAACTCCTGGCGATCCTCTTGCCTCAGCCTCCCAAGTGCTGGGATTACAGGTGTGTGCTACCACGCCCGGCTTGAATGCATTTTCTGTATAACGCTTTTAGGAATACAGAGGAGAAAGAGAAAGACAGACATACCCCTCCTCAGAGATCACATCTCTGTACTAGGTGCCCCACGTGTAGTAGCTATGCAGTAAATGTAGCTTCCTTTCTTTGCCAAGGAAGTGGGAGAGCCTTCTGGGGAAAGGAACTGACCCAAAACTATGGTATGTGTGACCTTCATAGTAAAGATGTATTGTCTGTTCTTGAGAAAAAAAACCATATATGCTCATGTGGTGGTACATGCCTGTAATCTCAGCGCTTGGGAGGCTGAGGCAGGGGTGTCTTAGTTACTTTCTCATTGCTGGGACTAAATACCTGACACCCTCAAGTTAAAAGAGGAGATATTAATTTTGGTTCACAGTCTGTAGAGGTTTCAGTTCATAGTTGGCTGATTCCAAGGCAGGACAACATGGCAGAGGGCTGTGGCCAAAGAGAAACAGCTCATGGCAGGGCAGGCAGGAAGGAGAAACAGCAGAATCAAGGGAGGAAGAGGGATATTATCCTTCCAGGCCGAATCCACAGTAACTCACCTCTTCCCCCCAGAGTTCACCTCCCAACATCACACCCAGCTATAAAGCCATCAGGGGACTAATCCAGGGATGGGTATCACACCCCCATGACCCAGTCACCTCCCCAGAGCCCTACCTAGGAGTGCGTGAGATACATCTAGATACAAGCCGTAACAAGGAGGATCTAGATACAAGCCGTAACAAGGAGGACGGCTGCAAGTTTGAGGCCAGCCTGGACTTTACATAGTGGGTTCAAGGCAGCCTGAACTACATAGCAAGATCCTGTGTCCAAAAAAGCATCCTGTGGCGATGGGAAGGGGAGATGGAGATGGGGGAGATGGAAGAGCAGGAGGGGAAGGGGAAATAAAAAGGACTAGTATGCTGGGTGTAATGGCGCACACCTGTAATCCCAGCATTCAGGAGGCTGCGGCAGGAGAATCAGTATGAGTTTGAGGCCAGCCTGGGCTACATAGTGAGACCCTATATCAACCCTCCCACCCCCAGGAAAAGGACCAGTATTCCACGAATATATTATGTATTCCAAATATATACTAATAAAAATCATCATCTATTGCTAAGCACTTGGACATCTGACCTGCATTAGAATCTTTGGAGACAATGCACAGTTACTTTATCATTCCTGTTACTCAGATAAGGTTCAGCGGGTGGTGGTGGGGGATTTGCTTAAGAGAGGAGGGCGGGAGACGGGCTGGCTAACACGTACAGGGTGTGACAGGATAGGAGGATTAACTTCTAGTGTTCTACAGGGTACGGGAGCTGGTTGCCAAAAATTAACTGTGCGTTTCAGGATAGTAGAGAGGACTTTTAATGTTCCCAACACAAAGAAATGACCAATGGGTGATGGATATGCCAAGTAACCTGATAAAATCATCACCCATTGTTTTCATTTATTGGAATATCACATTGTACCCCATAAGATGGTAAGTACTAAGCGGCCATAGTTTCTCAAAACATGAAAATAAAATTCAGAACTGGAGAGAAGCGGTGCTAGGTAAGAACACAGATCCTCTGACTCGCAGCTCTGGACGTGGACAACAGCTCACAGAGTGGGAAGAAGGCATCCGGAGCATTGGAGTCCTGCTCAGGGAAGAGAGGCCCTGGGCCAACTGTGGGCATGTGCCAGGGTCTGTTACCCAAGGAGCAGAAAGTTTCTGTAGAGCAGCAGCTCTTAGTTTTGCTGCCCTGGAAGATTACCCTGGGGCTTCTAAAAATACTGTGGCCTGGGTTTCCCCCTATCCTGAGAATGACTGTCTGGAATGGTATCTGAAAAACTTTCAAAAGCGCCCCAAGAGAGACCAGCTCTCAGGCAAGGCTCAGGACCACAGCTTGGGCATAGAATGTGCTTCTCACAGTGTGGAAAGCTGACAGAAGACAGGGACTGTTGGTCTTAGAAGATGGGAAAATGAGCACTCAGGAGGCTGAGGCAGCAGCAGTGCTACAAGTTTGAGGTTAGCCTGAACTACATAGCAAGACCCTGTCTTAAAGAAAAAAAATAAATAGCTGGGCATAGTGGCGCACACCTGTAATCCTGGCACTCAGGAGGCTGAGGCAGGAGGATCGTTGCAAGTTGGAGACCAGCCTGGGCTACAAAGTGAGCTCAAGGCCAGCCTGAACTGCACAGTGAGACCCTGTCTCAAAAAAAGAGAAAAAATAAATAAATAAAAGAGAATGGAAGGGGAGACTGGGGAAAGGAAGGGGAAATAAAAATTATTCAGATGTGATATATATGTACCAATGCCCCTAGAGAACTGTAATTTTTATGTATTACAAACATGCAGTAATTTTAAAAAGAGGATGGAGAATGGGAGATAGTGTTTCCCTCATGGGAGAAGAAACTTCCTGGAACTGGAAAGTTGTCTGGCAGGGGGTGGTGGGGAGGAGAGGCATTAGGAGGTGGGGAAGGTGAGCTGAATGTGGTGGTGAAGGCATTCAGCCCCAGCACCTTGGCAGGCTGGGGCGACAGGACCGCAGGTCCCAGTCCCATCTAGGTTGTTTAAAGAGAGTCTGGGGGCGGGGGGGGGGGGGGGAAGAGCCTCTCTGGAAAACGGAGGGAGACAGTGCATTTGGTTATGACAGAACCAATTAGCAGAATGGGCAAAAGGGACTTTAAGGTTCATGCTCAGCTTTACTACCAGCTAGACGTGCCCCTTGGGAGTATATTGCTTAAGTTCCTATCCCTCAGTTTGTCCTATCGCTGACGGAGATTAAATGCGGAGATGCCTGGTACAGAGCAGTTGCTCGGTAAACAACTGTTGGGCGACTGCAGAGTCTATAGAGAAACACTGGCATTTAACCTGGAAAATGGGGGAAGAGTGGCATATTTGGTCCCGAGGAATGATGGTGATTGCTTCAGGGGCTGGAGGGAGGACAGGCTGTATCCCAATCCCACACCAACCTCACAGTTAGGGAGCAGGCTAGGAGATGCCCGGCTGGAGCCTCCAGCCTACCAGCTGCAGAGAGACAGGGTTTGACTGCTAGTAACCTCTCTCTCAGCTGCTGCAGTCAGAAGGCTCAGCGCGGCAGTGGCCCCCGACAGTCTCAGCCGCTTCCCTCTCAGCCTTTCTGCTGTGTGACAGGTGGGAACTTAGAAGCTCAGGTCACGTGTCTTCGCGGGCTAACCTACTTACCCCTTGAAGACACAAAGGCTGGGGCAGGCAGGGGCCGGGAGGAATTGCCTGAGGAATGGGGAAAGCGCAGGGTGGGGACAGGAGCCTCAAGTGCTCTAGGGGACCCGTCGCTCAAGCTTAGGGAGAGAATGACAATGCATATGCGGGGATGTCCGAGGCAATGTCTGTGAGCCCTGTGCACAGCCCTGCGCAGGTAGGTGCCTCCAGGACCCGCCACGCGCCCTCCTTGGGGGCCTGAGTCTGGCTGGCCGACTAAGGGTTCCTGCAGTCAGCGCAGGAGTCTGGGTACCGGTATAACCTTGGAGCTGCCTGCGAGCGTCCCCAAAGCTGCGCTCCCCTTCTGACTAGCGTGCTCTCCCTTAGACAGGGCAAGTGAGTGCGGGAGGAGAACGTCCTGACTCCTGCGTTTTAAAAACTAGTACTTAGTTTGGGTATGGGAGGGGGCTGAACTCTAGGCTAAAGCTGAGGAAAATCTCTGGAGGCAGGCTTATGTGCAGAGACACCCTCCTGCCGTCACTGCTATTGTCTCCACGGAGTGACTCCAGCTCCCCTTCTTTATGGCTCCCAAGTCGACCTTTCGCTGCTGACTCTCAGTCCTGGATTCACACCCGCTCCCCTTCGGCCCGCGCTGCGGGCGCCGCTCTCGCCTTCTCGGTCCTCGCCCCCCGCGGGCTGTGGGGCGGCGCGGGCCCTTTAAGAGCAGCGGGACCGGCGAGCAGCCGCTCGGAGAAGAACGCAGGGGCCGGCGGCTCGGAGGACACAGCGCCGGGGACCGGGCTCAGCGACCCGCGTGCGCGCGGCCAAGCGGAATCGGGCGCTACCCCAGCCTCCGCTCCTCAACCTTGCCACCTCCTCCGACCGCGGGCCGGGCCC